AACTTCCTAAAAGTATAGAGAATCTCAAGGGACCCTGAATAGTCAAAACAATCTTGAAAAAGGAGAATAAAATTGGAGGCCTTGCACGTCCCAATTTCAAAACATGCAACAAAGCAACAGTAATCAATATGGTACTGATGTATGAAAAAGTCTTTATATTTCACTTTTGAAGGATCATTTTGCTGGATATATAATTCTACATTGGTAGTTTTCCCCCCTTTAACTCTATAAGGTTGTCAATCCATAGTGTTCTTGCTTGCACGGTCCTGATGACATGTCCACTGCAATTCTTATCTTTGTTTCTTTGTAGGTAAGGTGATTTTTTCCCCATTAGGCTGCCTGCAATATTGTCTCTTTGTCTTTGGTTTGCTGCAGTTTTAATAAAATATGCCTATGTGTGAGATTTTGCTTGTTTGTTTTAAAGTGTGTGTGTGTGTGTGTGCATGTGTGTGTGTGTATGTGTATTTATAATGCATTTGTCAATGTATCTATTTTTATGCCAGTAATATATTGTTTTGACTACTATTGCTTTGTAACATATTTTGAAATCAGGTAGTATGATGCCTCCAGCTTTGTTCTTTTTGCTCAGGATTGATTTAGCCATTCAGGGTCTTAATTTGAAAGCTTTTCCTTTCAGATCAGGAACAAGGCAAGGATGCTCATTCTTCCTACTCTTATTCCACATAGCACTGGAACTTGTAGCCAGAGTAATTAGGCAAGGAAAAGACATAAAAGACATCCAAACAAAAAAGAAAGAGATGAAATTGTCTCTGTTCACTGATGAAATAATCTTATGTATAGAAAACTCTAAATATACCACCAAAAAACTGTTAGACTTAATAAATTCAGCAAAATCCACACACAAAAATTAGTATTGCTTCTATACCCTAACAATGAACCAATTAAAAAAGAAATCAAGAAAACAATCTCATTTATAATAGTTGCAAAAAAAATTTAGAAATAAATTTAACCAAGGAGATTAACAATCTCTACACCCAAAACTATAAAACATTGTTTAAATAAATTGGAGAAAACACAAATAAATGAAAAAATGTTCTATGTTCATGGATTGGAAGAATTAATATTATTAAAATATCTGTACTATTCAATGTGATCTACAGATTCAGTGCAACTCCTGTCAAAATTTCAATTACATTTTTCTTGGAAATAGTAAAAAGTCCTAAAATTCTGACTGATAATTTCAACACCTGTGTCGTATATATGTCTGGTTCTGATCTTGCTTTGTCTCTTCAAATTGTGTTATTTCTTGCCTTAGCAAGTTTTGTAATTTTGTTATTATTAAAAGCCAGACATCTTGTATAAAGCAATAGCTACTGAGGTAAATAGGATTTTACCATGAATATTTATATTAATCTGGCCTGGAGTAAGGTTGTGTTTGATGTTTGTCGTCTCTATGGGTACCAGAAGCATTAATTTCTCTAGTGATTTTGTTGTCTTCTCTCTTGGCCTTGGCCCTTCCCTTTGTGTTGTACCTCAGAGACTGTCTGTCTCTTGCAGCCCTTCCAGCTGTAATCCACTGTCATTTTAACTGGAGGTTTATTAGCTTGTTGTAGGGTATAGGGGGATGAGGGCATTCTACAATCTTCAGATTAAGTCTCAGTCTTTGGAGTGCACAGTGAGCCTGTGTCTTGGAAGAGTGGCTTTCACAATTGTTTTTTTCTTCCAAGGTGTGGTAGATTGAACTGTAACCCCCAAAAAGATATGTTGAAGCCCTAACCCATGGTACCTGTGAATGTGACCTTATTTAAAAGCATCTTTGCAGATGTAATCAAGTTAAAATGAGGTCACACTGGATTAGGGTGGACTCTAAATCCAATGACTGCTATCTTTATAAAGAGAGAAAGATTTGAAGACAGAGATTAGACATTATAAAGGCAGCCATGTAAAAATGAAAGCAGAGACTGGAGTAATGCTACCACAAGCAAAGTAATGCTAAGGATTGCCAGTAACCACAAGAAACTAGAAAAGGCAAGGAAAAACTCCTAAAGCATTTGGAGGAAGCATGGCCTTACCAATGCTCCAAGACTGAGAAAATGAACTGTTGTTTTAAACCACCTAGTTTGTGTAATTTGTTATGGCAGCCTTATACATATACACATAGTTAAAGCATTCCCTCCTGTCACCTAATACTTTCTGTGGTTGTAATATTCCTAGTCTATATCTTTGAAACTCTCTACCTTTAATATTAAGGCTTTCTTTTCTTTCTTTTTTTCCCTTAGGTAAGACAGGGAGATCGAGCGGAGCTGGAGCAGGCCAAGATGCCTTCCCCTACTTGGGAAGGGATTTCAGTACTGCCCTCTGCTATTTTTATCTTTCTCCCAACTTCTAGAACTTCACAAAAAGTATTTTTCGGACCACACAAAAGGTATTTATCATTGCATAACAGTGTGAATTGCACACTTAAAATGGTTAAGATAGTAAATTTTACACTATGTGTTTTCTTACCACAATTTTATCATTCCAATTTTTGATATATGTGCTGCAAAAGCAAATAATTCTTACCACAATTATTTAAAGTATCTGTCTTCACAATCTCTTACCAAAATGATCTTCATGTTGCTGCCAAGCACAAGTCAGAGACTTAGAGGCTGTATGGTGCCAACGAACAGCTAAAGGAAGTAAGCTTTTAAAGGTGGGCTGGGGTAGGGCCTGACATATGACTCCTCCTTTCAGCAAGTCCTGAAGTCTGCTTTGTAGGTGGGACAATCTATGGTACCACATCCTAGAAGATTGGATAATAACAAGTTAGTAGTAATATAAAACAACTTTTATGAGGCTACAGGAAAAACACTACAGATATAATTATGCAAACTGATAGATTTAATGATCTCAACTACTGAGGATTAAACAAAGGAGAAATTCTGAAAAGCTAAGCATAAGTGATCTATAAATACTATTAACATTTTCTTATTAGCCACCCTTATTTTATGTTATAGAATCCTTCTTTTGCCCTAATAACTGAAGCAGTGCTTTAAACAATTCACTAATCTTAACATTCCAAGCACATACAGTCATCTGCATAATGACATTTCCATCAATAACAGATCACATATATGATGGTGGTCCCATGAGATTATAATGGAGCTGAAAAATTCCTATCAGCTAGTAACATGGTAACATAGCACAGTGCTTTGTCTTTTCTATGTTTAGATGTGTTTACATACACAAATCCTCAGCAGTATATTACAATTGCCTACAGTATTCAGTACAGTCACATGCTATGCAGATTTGTAGCCTAGGAGCAACAGGCTATACATATCACATAGCATAGATGTGTAGTAAGCTATACCATTTGGGTTTGTTTACACTCTAGGATGTTCACACAACCATGAAATTCCTGAATGAGGCATTTCTCAGAATGCATCCCTGTCATTATGCTGTCAACTGACTCATAATTGTAAAAGGATTATTTTTTATGTCTCATCCTTCTGGATCTCTCTGCTTGTGACACTATTGATCCCCCATATTCTGACTACTTGAAAGTCTCTTCTTTGCTGGTTATGTGTGCTGTGAGCAAATTAAACCCTCAGTGACTCCATTTCCTCCTTTGTAAAATGAGGGTAATAATAGTATTTATCCCATGGCTTTAGTGTGAGGACTAAAATATTTAGAATTATGTGTCTCACACTAAGCCTTACATATGTATCAGCTGCTATTATTATCATTATTATGGCCATTGTTAGGAATAAACTGTATCTGTTGGGAAAATGCCTTGATAAACCTGCTTGGAGTTGGTGATGCTGAGTAGCATAGTTTTAGAAAAATTAATAAAACAACCCCATTTGCATAAGGTCTTAAAAGGAATTTATTTGTCCTGTGGCAGAAGACTGAGAGAGCTATCTGATTTCAGATAGGCTCTGTGGTTCTTGATGTGAACCTTCTCAATTACACCCTCAAATATGCAGTAATGTAACCAAACCCACAAAATACTTATTATGAGTGGACTGGTGAGTGCATATGTGTGTGTGTTTACATGCATATGTGTGGGTATGTGAGGGGTACACTGATACACTGATGAAAGGACTGAACTACCTGCTGATATGGGATGAAACCAATCATATACACTAAAGCCATAGCTAGAGATATAATAGAATTTACTAATCACTAGAGAGCAGTCTGTAATTACAGGATAGAGAATAGAAGGCTAAAGTCAAATTTATTGAGATTTTGTGGCTGAGGACAAGAAAGAGAACACAGAAAGTCCTCTGCTGATATGTGGGTTACATTTATTTCTTCACTGTCTCTTGTTTCCAACCTCTTACCTATAGGTACTGTCTGAAACAGGGGTTGGCAATCTGTGACACACAAGCTAAAAATGGAATTTACATTTTTTAAAGAGTTGTAAAGAAAAACAAAGACGAGTATGAGACCAAGACTCCAGACCAAGACCAAGACTACAATTTCTCCTTTGTAGTCTATGAAGCCTACAATATATGTTTATCTGGATCTTCAAAAAAAAAAAAAAAAAAAAAAAAAAAAAAATCCAACTCCTAGTAAAATATTCAATTCTTAATCAAATACTCTTCTCCCACTACATCACACAACCTCTTAATCAAGAATATTCACTCACTTCATTATTTCACAAAATAAATATTACTAAGCAGGTTTATAATAGGTACTTCCTTAAGTACTAAGATACAAACATAAATAAGCCAGCAATCGTAGCCACCTTTTAAGAGGTTCACAATCTAGCGGGGAAGAAAGACAAGTACAGGGCGATAACTACTACTATTTATAATAATTTTAAGCATACAACACAGTGAAAGGTGTAAAAGAACAAGAAGTTAACTATGCCTGAGGAAAGTGGTGGATCTCCATATGATTAGTGTTCTTTGAAGGTTTTGTTGTTTTATATTTACCTAAAAATAAAACTCGCTCACTGTAAAAAACAACATCAGAAAAAAAGATAAGGGGATTGTCGGGGTTTGGAAAGAATCCATACAACCCTGAAATATACAAAATAAAAGAAAAAGCCTATTTTTTCATTATTTACCATTCCCATTCTTTCAAGGAAACTGTTGATGAGGTTTGGCATATTCAATGACACATGCAATTAAAATCTCCACACCTGCCATACACACATACAAAAATACATGTGTTTAGTATTTAAACCATAAAGAACGGTAGAAAACAAAGTCTCTCTTCCCTCATTTTCCCTAATTTCACTACTCATATGTTACCAGTTTTAATTTTTAAAAATCAGCCCAACTTAAACTGGATATCTGTATGCAGAAGAATGAGAACCCTCCCACCATATAAAAAAAAAAAAAAAAAATCAAATTTAAGTGAATTAAAGACCTAAATATAAGACCTCAAACTATGAAACTACTACAAGAAAACATTGGGGAAGCATATCAGGACGTTGGTCTGGGCGAAGATTTCTTAAGACTTCAAAAGCACAGGCAAGCTAAGCAAAAATGGACACATGGGATCACATCAAGTTAAAAACCTACTGTACATCAACGGATTCAACCAACAAAGTGAAGGGACAACCCAGAGAATTGGAGAAAATATTTGCAAACCACTCATCTGACAAGGGATTAATAATCAAGAAATTTGCAAACTGGGAGCAAGTATCTGAAATTCATACAACTGACAAAGTAGTAATATCAAAAATATTTAAAGTCATCCTACAGGCTGGGCTCAGTGGCTCAAGCCTGTAATCACAGCACTTTAGGAGGCCGAGGTGAGTGGATCACAATGTCAGGAGTTTGAGACCAGCCTGACCAACATAGTGAAACCCCATCTCTACTGAAAAATACAAAAAGTATCTGCACGTGGTGGCATGCACGTGTAATCCCAGCTACTTAGGAGGCTAAAGCAGGAGAATTGTTTGAACTCAGGAGGCAGAGGTTGCAGTGAGTCAAGATCGCACCAATGTACTCCAGCCTGGGTGACAGAGTGAGACTGTCTCAAAAAAGAAGAAGAAGAAGAAAAAAAAAAAGACATCCTACAGATCAATAGGAAAAGCAAACAGTATGTGAGCAAATAGTACAAACAGACATTTCTAAGAGAAAACACTATGGTCAATATGGTCAATAAATTCATGAAGAGATGTTCAACATCATTAATGATTAGGGAATTTTAATCTAGCCACAGTGAGATATGATATAACCATTTGATTGGCAAAAATTAAAAATTCTGACAATAACAAGTATAGAGATCTTGCACATCTTTCATTGAATTCATTCCTAAGTCATTTATGGTGCTATTACAAGCAGCATTTTAAAATTTCAATTTGCAATTGCTAATAGTGTACACAATACAACTTATTTTTATATTCTGACCGGGAATGCTGTAATCATATTAAAATCAGTTACTATTTCCAGTAATGGTTTTGGAAATTTCCTAGGATTTTCTACATAAGAAATGTCATATACGAATACAGTTCTACATCTTCTTTTGCAAACTTTATATCTTTTGTTTTTCGCTTCACTGAACTCACTAGTTAGGACCTCAAGTACAATACTAAATAGGAGAAGTGAGCACAGACATCCTTGCCTTGTTCCTGATCTTAGGGAAAAGTGTTCTAATTTCATGATTAAGTATATTGTTAGCAATGTTTTTGGATTTTTGTTATTGTTATTAATGGCCTTTTTCAGGCTGGGGAAGTTTCCTTCAATTCCTAGTTTTCTGAGAGTATTTATCAGGAACATGAGTTGAATTTTATTAAATGTACTTTCTACATCTATTGAGATTATTTTATAGCTTGTTGCTTTATTCTAGTAAAGTGGTTAATTATTCTGATTGACTTCCTATGTTAAAACAATCTTGCATTTCTGGAATAAACCCCACTTGATTATGATATATTATCCTTTTTATACATTGTTGGATTCAATGTGCTGAAATTTTGTTACAGCATTTTGCATCTAGATACATGAGGAATACATGGTCTGGTTTGTGTGTGTGCGTGTGTGTGTGTGTGTGTGTGTGTGTGTGACATCTGCTTTTTTTAAAATTATACTTTAAATTCTGGGAAACATGCAGAATGTGCAGGTTTGTTACATAGGTATACATGTGCCATGGTGGTTTGCTACACACATCAACCTGTCATCTACATTAGGTATTTCTCCTAATGCTATCCCTCCCCTTACCCCCTACTCCCCTGACAGGCCCCGGTATGTGACGTTCCCCTCCCTGTGTCCATATGTTCTCATTGATCAACTCCCACTTATGAGTGAGAACATGTGGTGTTTGGTTTTCTGTTCCTTTGTCAGTTTGCTGAGAATGATGGTTTCCAGCTTCATCCATGTCCCTACAAAGGACATGAACTCATTCTTTTTTATGGCTGCATAGTATTATAAGGTGTATATGTGTCACATTTTCTTTGTCCAGTGTAACATTGATGGGCTTTTGGGTTGGTTCCAAGTCTTTGCTATTGTGAATAATGTTGCAATAAACATACATGTGTGTGTATCTTTAGAGTAGAATGATTTATAATCTTTTGGGTATATACTCAGTAATGAAATTGCTGGGTCAAGTGGTATTTCTGGTTCTAGATCCTCGAGCAATTGCCACAGTGTCTTCCACAATGGTTGAATTAATTTACACTCCCACCAACAGTGTAAAGGCATTCCTATTTCTCTGCATCCTCTCCAGCATCTGTTGTTTCCTGACTTTTCAATGATCACAAAATAAGTTAGAAAATGTTACCTCTATCTCTATTCATTTCTCATATGTCAGATTTTTCTTACACCTTGTTATCCTCTTTCATTTTGTTTT